ACCGCAACAACAACAACAACAACAACAACAACAACAACAACAACAATAATAATAATGTGCTGTTGCACCTCGAACCAGCCCTTCCTGACCCTCAACCGCTTGAGCACCCGAGAACCTGTAAAGACGCCGGGAAGTGTCCCGACAACAACAACAACAATAATAATAATGTGCTGTTGCACCTCGAACCAGCCCCTCCTGACCCTCAACCGCAACAACAACAACAACAACAACAACAACAACAACAACAACAATAATAATAATGTGCTGTTGCACCTCGAACCAGCCCCTCCTTACCCTCAACCGCTTGAGCACCCGAGAACCTGTAAAGACGCCGGGAAGTGTCCCGACGGTAAACCTCCGACGCTCAAGTTAGAATAGTATCGAGAAGGGCACAGTATAAATTTTAGGGTTTTGTGATGTTATTAAATCCCTTACCTACCGTCCAACCAACTTTTTCTATTTATCGGTTGTGACATTGCGTTTTTGCCACGCCTTCGTCGTTGCCCCCTAAATGATCCAGCCCCTTCTCATCTTGACTCTACACGTGTCTCCCCATACTGCTCCCACTAACCATTCCGTTAAAAAAGGCTAAGCCCATTTAAGTCCGAGCCACTAAAAGATCTATAACAGGGCCACTATTATGTCTTTTGGGTCGAGCTAAAAGGCCGAGCCCCCAAGAAGATTAAAAGGTCGTACCCTTATTAGTTGGACCACCAATAAACTAATAAGTCGAGCTCCGTTTGGGCCGACCAACTAAGTGTCGTTTTACCGAGCCACTTTAATGTGCTATATCATCTAGCCCCCTATTATAAAATGAGCTATCGTGTATTGATATAGATAGACTTGTTTGATAATTCCAACAATGTTTGAATCACAAATCTTTTTCTTGATTATGAGCTGTCAAAAGTGCCAAGCCCCACACACGATTGCCCATTCGGGCTAGGAAAACGCCGAGCCCGACACCTGATTTCGTATCCAGGCTAAGTAATATTCCACAGCAGTAATACTTTTGTATGTATTAGGATTTTCTGCACTGTTTTGATATTAAAACTATTTATTTATTTTTAATTTTACTTGCATTAAAAGTGAAGGTGATATATTCACACGTTTAATCATATGATTATTATTCTTGCATTTTTTTTTTTTGAGTTAAATGGTTATGCTATCGTCATTTTTAGTTTTAGTTTTTAATTCAATATTTATCCTTATTTTTTTTTCATAAAGAATAATAATAGTATTTTCGTTGGCATATATTCATATATTATAGTTATTTACAAAATAAAAAATTAGTGTTATTTAATATAAAATAAACTGATATTATCTATTAATATTATTTTAAAAATAATGAACATCTTAAAGTTTTTCATAAAATAAATTACGAATACATAATAAGTAAACAATTAGTATAAAATATATCATTTTTTTTATATATATATATCTTTATATAGGTTTAATTTTTTTGTTAGTAATATCATGTTTTGTATATAGAATAAATTAATTCTTCAACTATAAAAAAATAGTAAAAGTAGTGAACATTATTCGAGTCACTCTGATAGTAATAATATTCATAATACGTATTTTATTAAATTATAAAAAAGTAACCTATAAAATTGAATACCATTATATTATAAAAAATTATAAATTTTTAAAATTATGAAGTTAAATTAATTAATTAATATTGTAAATAAAAATTAAATTCCATAAACCTTCAAATAATATAAATATAAAATGACAAATAAAAAAAATAACAAATAAAATAAATGCAAAATAATATTTTATTTCACTTTTTTTTTTTTCTTTTCTATGAATGTGAAGTAATCAACTTGATAATAACATTATACAACTAGATAAACACATAATATGAAAATATATTCGGGTTGGATGAAATGTCATTTAATTAGTAGGTTGTGGTTTATTTCCTTCTTTGTGTTTCCTGGTAGTCTGGTACTGTAAAAACAAATGAAAAGAGGAGTAATTGATAAGCCAGATATCCCACATCGCAGTACCAACCAAAAGCATTCACCTATTTGAAGGATAGCACAAGCAATTGTGGTCACGACCTTACTTGAACAGGATCTGTTTTAAAGGCTCGTGCCTCTTTATCCTTGTGATATAAAGAGACAAAATCACCAATCCGGTGGATGAACCATGGCTGTCTGGCCAGAGCGTGATTAGCTAGACCTTTGTGGCTCAATCTTGAGCCCGCTGGCTCAGTAGAGGATCGTTCTTGGCTACGTCCCAGTCAAGATGGCACGGCAGCGTTCTGACGGACTTATAAAATTTTTTATTTATGATCTTTTTTCACTACGACGTCGTTCCGGGTAATTACCCACTTTTTTGAAGCGATTACGGGCCATTAAGAGGCCCAGTAACCCGGGCACCCGGGGTTATTACTCAGTTTTTGAAGCGGTTTTGTAGGGCCCAGTGAGAGGCCCACTAAGCGGTTTTCCAAAACTTGGTACAGGTATGTATACCATACACTAGGGTTGAAAACGAGTCGAGCGGCTCGCGAGCGCTCGAGTCAAAGCTCGACTCGAGCTCGAGTTTGACCGAACTCGAGTCGAGCTCGAGCGGCTCGAACACGAACTCGAGTCGAGCTCGAGCTTACATTTTGCCTTGTCGAGCGGGTCGAGATATACGTTAATGACAAAACTACACCTTATTATATATATATTAGCATAGGTGCTCAATGGTAATTTTACCTAA